TAGTAGTAGTAGTAGTAGTAGTAGTAGTAGTAGTAGTAGTAGTAGTAGCACTAGTACCACTAGTAGTAGTAGCAGTAAAGTGCTTGTTGTCTGGTTGTATTTTTTCGGGGGGGGTCAAAAAACAACGACGGGGTTGCAGAATTTGTTTCTACCCCCTTGTAGAGAAAAAGAAAGAAGATGTGGTGTAACGGGGTTGCAGTTTTTGCTTGTACCTTGTTGTTGTTGTTGTTGTTGTTGTTGTTGTTTTCGTTCTATGCAATTATTACGACAATCCATGGAGCAAGTTTAGGGGTTTAGCTTGGGGTAAAAACAAGAAAGTTGGTGTTCAGGGGTTGGTGGGGAGATGGTTCTTGAAAAATCGGTGAACTTGGGCTTTCCATAGTCTTGGGGTGTATAGCAACATCTCCTGCATAAGTAGCTCCGAGGCGGACCATGTGCTTCGCTTCCTGCAACAAGACATGCCACAGCTCGCATCAAAGCTGCGGCCTTGGCAAGGGTGATGGGAATGAGAAGTGATGAGAGTGAGGAATGACGGAAGATTCACAGGCGTTCATGAAATAGGTACAATTATGATGGAAGGTGGGTCAGCTTGCACCCCTCCGTGGTGTTTTCGGCACCGGAGGAATCGCCATTGGACCAGCTCAAAACCGCGAGCACGAGCACACGAATTTGTCACACGTCGTGTTTGTTTTTCTTGCGCAGCAAGAACTGAACTTTTCACAGCAGAACGGAAACGATATAAGTAGATCTAGGTGACTACCAGCCCGTTGACCACATCAATCCACGTCCTTTCCGAAGATTGCAATCACTGTTTTTTTTTTGCAGGTTGTGCTCCCTCTTCCCAGAGTCTGTTCCCGAGGCAAGGCCGTGGCGTCAATGAGGGACATCCCAGAGTTGCCAGTTGATCTCCACTTTATGACAGGTTACAAGTTCCACCTCCACAAGTGTTGAACACAGTTTTTCTTTGACATCCTGGTTCATGACAAACTGATGTCATTCGATATTGTTGTTTTTTGCACTTCAAGGGGCTGAACCTGTTGCGCAACCTGGCATCACCCCCAGCGGCTTGAGCAAGTGCACTGAACATGTAAACTGCACAAACTGGGTGCAAGCACCTTCAGCAGTTGCGCAAGCTAAGTAGGTTGAACACTTCTTAGCCCTTTTTCGCAAGAACATGATGATTGGATCATCG